AACAGCATCCCTGGCTGCTTCCTGCTAGATGCCAGCGGCATCTCCCAAGGTGTGATAACAAAAATATCTCTAGACAGTGCCAAATGTCCCCTGGAAGGAAAGATTTCCCTTGCTGAGAACCACTGGGTTGAAAAGAATGTATATGTTGCGGTCATTGGGCATAGTATTCTGTAATTGTTAATAGGTCATGATGGTAGAGTTATTCAGGTTATCTATTTTAAAAAAAATTTTCTCCCTAGTTTTATATCATTTGCCGAGAAAGGGATATTAAAATATCTAACTGTAATTGTGGGATTGCCTTGTTCTTCCCTCTAATTCTGTCAGTTTTTGCTTCACGAATGTTTTTGCTTTTTAAAAACAAACTTCGTTGAGGTACCATTTATGTACCATAAAGTTCATCCTTTCAGTGATTTTTTTTTAATGTGTGTGTGTGATTTGCTGAGTTGTGCAACTATCAGAATAATCCAATTTTAAAATATTTCCATCACACCAATAAGATCCCTTATATCCAACAGTTAATCTGTTGCAGGCCCCAGGCCACCACTGAGCTACTTTCTGTCTTTAGATATTTGCCTTTTCTGGACATTTTGTATAAATGGAATCATATAACATATGTCTTTTGTGTCTAATTTCTCTCACTTATGTAACATTTTTGAGATTCATTATGTTGTAGCATGTGGTTTATTCCTTTTTATTGGTGAACAGTGTTCCCAGTTTCATGTATTTTTGAGGCTCTATTATGAGGGACTTCCATACTTTGATTATGTTTTTCTAGTAAGTTGACCCAATTATTAGGAAATATCTTTTTATTTCTCATAATTTTGTCTAAAACCTGTTTTATCTTATATTAATATAGCCAACTATATGCATATGTTAACTCTTTGCACAGTATATCTTTTTCCATCCATTTATTTTCAGCTGATCTGTGTCTTTATGTTTAAAGTATAGCTCTTATGGACAGTGTATAGCTGGTCTTGCTTAAAAACAAATCCAACTCAATTTCTGACTTTTACTTGAGAAATTTATTCCATTAATATTTAATATAATTATTGATGTGGTTGGGCTTGAGGCTTCCATTTTCTTATTTGTTTGCAATTTATTCCCCCTCAGCTTTTTGTTTCTCTATTCCTCCTCCTCTGCTTTTTTCCTTTTCTTTTTGGATTATCTGTGTATGTGTGTATTTAACAGTTCCATTTTAATTTTCCTCTTAGCATATCTTTGTATGTTGTTTTCTAGCAGTTGCTCTAGAGATTATAATTTATATTCTTCACTTATCACAGTCCTCTTACAGTTTATAATGTTACTATTTCACATAAAAGATAGATAATTTACCACTGTGTGGTTGCACATTTTCTTCCACCCCTGACCTACCTTGTCCTTATGCTATAGTTGTTACATGTATTACATGTGCGTATAATATAACCCCCACAGGACAATGCCATGACTCCTATTTTTGATGCTCTTCATTCTTTCTTGAGGACCCGGATTTCCATCTGGTAGCATGTCCCTTTGGTTTGAAGAACTTCCTTTAACCTTTCATGTGGTGCAGGTATGTTAATAATGAATTCTCTTCATTTTGTTTTCACTCTTGAAGGATTTACCTACAAGATATGGGAGTCCTTCAATAGTTTTTTCTTTTAGCACATTAAAGATGTTCCACTGTCTTCTGGCCTCTGTAATTTCTGATGAGAGACCAATTTCCAACTGAATCATTCTGTTGTAACGTGTCATTTTTCTCTAGATATTTTTAAACTTTGGGTTTATTTTTTACCTTTGGCTTCAGTAGTTTGACATTGGCTGGCCTTCTTTATATTTAATCCTGCTTGGTTATTTGCTGATTATCTTGAATCTATAAATGTATGTCTTTTACCAAATTTAAGAAATATTCAGCAATTATTTTTCAAAGTTTTTCTGCCCTATTCTCTTCCCCTTCTAGGACTCTAATTACATGTATGATATTATCAAACAGATCTCTTGAACATCTGTTCATTTTTATTTCCATCTTTTTTTCTTTGTTCTTATTGGATAATTTCCCTTGCTCTGTCTTCAAGATCTTCCCTCTGTCATCTCCAGTTCTCTGTTCAATCCATCCAGTATATTAATTTTTTAGTTCTGAAATTTCCATTTGATTCTGGTTTTTTTTTTTTTGGTTTTTTTGACTTCTTTTTCTCTGCTGAGATTTCTTATTTTTTTATTCATTATGAGTATATATTTCACTTTACCAAAGAATGTATAATCGCTTTTTTAACATTGTGATTTGTTACTTCCAGCACCTGGGTCATCCCAGGGTTGGTCTCAGTTGTTTCATTTTAACAATGTCTTCCATTTTCTTGGTTCTTCACGTATGGTAAGTTTGGATCTTATCTAGGACATCGAGAATGTTAAATTTGAGAGACTCTGGGTTCTGTTGTTTTTCTTCAGTGAGTTTTGAGTTTCTTTAGTTTTAGCAGGTAGTTATCTTGGTTGGACTCAAACTTACAAACTCTGTTTTTCAGGCAGCAGTTTGACTCTTAGGGCGGCCCTTCTGTCTCTAGCTGAGTTGCAGTGAGTGTACGCTGTGCATGTGTGTGGCCCAGGGGTCAGCCAAAGATGTGGGCAGACCGAGTTGGGGATACCTTCTCAGATTCTTTCCCTTCTTCCCAGTAGCAATGGTTTCCCGATTCGTTTTTCTGGCTCCTAGTCTAGAAAGACTGCATTTCTCCCTCACGGATCCTCAGGTAAAAGCTGTGAAACCATGAACTGATTCTTTGCAACTCTCCTCCTCCAAGTGTAGACTTCTCATCTGCCTGTTGGTCTTTGTCCTCCATGCCTTCAGGTAGCTGCTGTTTGTAGTTATCTGAGTTTCTAGTTTTCTGGAGGAGTGTTGGAAGGTCAGGATCTTAGTCATTACCGAAGCCAGTCTTTTGAACTTCATTTTAATAAGGGGGAAAGAGACAATAAACAAGTAAAAATAAAATATACAGACACACCTTGGAGATATTGTGGGTTTGGTTCTAGACCTCTGCAATAAAGTGAATATCACAGTGAAGCGAGTCAGACAAATTTTTTGGTTTCCTAGTGCATATAAGTTATTTTTATACTTTTTGTAGTCTGTTAAGTGTGCAATAGCATTACGTCTTTTAAAAAGTTCATACCATAATTAAATACTTTATGGCTGAAAAATGGTAACCGTTATTCAAACCTTCAGTGAGTCATAGATGTAGATCACTGATTACAGATCACTGTAAGACCTATAATAATAATGAGAAAGTTTTAAATATCGTGCAGATTACCAAAATGTGACCCAGAGACATGAAGTGAGCAATGCTGTTGCAGGTAGACTTGCTTGACACAGGGTTGCCACAAATCTTTAATTTGTAAAAAATGCAACATCTGCTAAATGCAGTAAAAGAGGAACGCCTGTCACGTGTTGGTTATTTGTTGCTCTGTTCTAAGCTACCCCAGGACTCTGGGCTTAAATTGACTCTGAATTTTTACTAAAATTCATGCCACCATGAGTTGGCAGGGGGTCGCCTGAGCCACCTGGACCTGGCCAAACCCATGCATTTGTACTTAAGCTGTCATACGCGTGTGTCTGCAGGCTGGCGGGGGCTGCGCTCTGGACCAGGCATGGCTGGGGCACCTCAGGGAGAATGGCTCTCCTCTGGGGGCCGCTCATCTTCTGGGGAACAGTGGGTAGCCTGGGTTACCCTTCTCATGGTGATGACAGAGTGCAGGAGAGCAATCTCAGGTTTCATTTAATGTGATACCCACAGCGCAGTAGCCCATTCCCAACTTTTGGACCATTTTAGGCCATTACGATGTTTTGCCCCTCCCTGATTTGTTGAGTGCTTACTTCTTTAAGCACTTTACATGTATGAAATAGATACTCTTGCTGCCCCCACTTTGCAGATGAGAAAACTGAGGTGCAGAGAGGCTAAGTACCTGGCCTAAAGTCATCGACTTTCTAAGTGACAGAGAGAGGATGTGGAGCTGGGCAGCCTGCCAGTACCCATTCTTGTGTGTACTCGGAAAAGTATAAGGGATTGTGTCCGCATCCCTGAATGTTTCTTTAGATAATTTCCCAGCAGTGTAGTATTGAGTCACAGGATAGTTGTCACATTTACAGGAATATTATTTTTGTTTTGCTGCCTGTTGCCTGGGCAGCTCAAAGTTGCTGCTGAGCTAGTTTGTCCCTCCCACTCCAAGAGAGAAAAACACCAGGCTTGCTGGTGGGCTGCTGGGAGGCAAGCCTCAGTTGGTGAGCTTCCATGAGCACAGACCCCGAATTGGGGTGGTGTGAGCTGTGGAGGCAGAAAAGCATCAGAAAGCTGGTGACCAGCTTGGCTGAGAGTTGTCCGCAGTCTGATGGGCCCACGTGAGCCAAGGCTCCCGGCCAGCTCCAGGTCTGCTTGTTCTCACGGACAGCATGGGGGGCGGTCTGCAGATGATGACACTTCCTGGGCCAAAGGACAACTGTATGTGTAGTGAGTGTGACCTTCCAGCCCATAGCACACTAGGCTCCCTGGCCACACTCGCAGTTTGAGTGATGGCACAAGAGGAAAGGACTGATTTTAAGGGACTGGCAGAAAGTACAGACAACTTAACTCAGGGTGATCATCTGAGCAGGAGGCTTTTTAAGGCTGTGGGCCTTCTTGCATTTCCATTGTTACCGTTCTGACAGTCTGAGCCCTGTGGCTACCTGTGCAATCCTTCCTACTTTGAAACAGTGGGGGAAATGAATGGACAGGAAGATAAATCTAGTTGAGGTTTAGTTATGAAAAGTCTGAATCAAAGCTGAGATGCAGATAAGGTTAAATTGAGAGTTTAGGGTTTTCTCTTGTTCTGGATTGTTTTCAAGGTAACTGGTTGCCAGTAAGTATACATGTATAAAGCCACAGATGACTTTGCCTTTGTGGTTTTTGGTTACTGTAAGTGTTCAGAGTTTTAGCTACTTGAGTATTACGTATTATGTTTCTAATATCTTCTTTCTTTTTTCTTTTTTTTTTTTTTTGCTTCAGGTTAGTAGCAAAGATGAAGATTTTCTTGACCTTTCTGTCGATGTGGAGCAGAATACATCTATTACCCATTGTCTAAGGTAACCTCATGAATTCTGACTGTGGTCTGAGCTTTTGATCAGGCTAGTAAGTAAGTAGGAGAAAAAAATCCTGTATTTCTTCAGGAGATAATCTTTTTGTTAAACCAATATAATCCTATTATTTTCTATTTCTTCTTTCCCAAGAGAGATTAAAAATAAATATATGTGGTCTGGAGAAGAGTCCTGCTGAGAAGAGAGAGGATCAAGTGGAAGTCATTAGTCATTATGTTTAAAATAAGTTTTTAATCTTTAGTACAGATGTATGCTTTGGCCTCCATCACTCTCTCTCTCTCTCACACAGACACAGACACAGTCACAGAGTCACACAGTGAAGTTGAAAAGTGCTATAGATGCCCGCCATTAACTTTCTTTTCCTAAGCTAATCTGTTATTTCAAAAATTACGCCCTTTTGAGCTGAGAACCGATGAGGGCATTGCCTTCCCCTCCGTCCTTTAGCACTGTGTGGAGATCATTCATGGACAAAACTTTGGCCCCATGAGAGGTGAGGGGAGATAAGGAGCCGGGAGGGTAAGCACGACACATGGCCAGGATGACTGCAGGTACTGCATGTTGCCTTGTGTGCTGAAAACGTGCGCAGAGTTGATACAAAGACACGATTCCCTTGTCCTGTCCTTACTGCCTTCTCCTCCTTTCAACAGGGCGTTGTGAGCACTTATAATTAGCCTGGCCTTGTTCTGGACACTGGAGGTAGAGGAGGGAGGGTTGGAGACACATCTTACAAGCACTTACATTCCAGTGGGAATCCTCGGACAGGGACCCACGCTTTGAAGGAGAGTGCCTGGTAGTGGGGGTGCCGGTGTGGACTGAGTGGTCAGGGCCGGCCTCCCCACTGCTAAGGATACCCCAGCTCAGAGACGTTTTATCGTGTCAAAACAAGGCAGTGTTGTTTTATCAGTGGGAACTGGGTGACAGAGTTGTTCTAGCTGGAGTTCGGTTCACTTAGAACTCTTTAGCACGGACTACAGGGATTTGCTGTGGCTGTTGACCGTCAGAAAGTCATCTTTCAGGGCAAAGGCACCAACTTAAACCTGGAAGAGCTTCTTGGTTCATCGGGTGTCATGTATTGTGCGAGCTGGGGGCTGACTGCTCTCCGATCCCCAGGAGTCTGAGCCTGCCCCGACACCCCATAGTTACCTTAGCGCCTCCTGTTGGTTTGGCATTTCAGTCCTTGTCTCAAATTCCTTGGGTCCAGGTGTGTAGGACACATTTGTTACCTCTTTGTTTGCAAAGTGTGCTGTAGGTCAGGATGGCCCTTTTTCTCCTGCGTGGTTCTCTTTATGGCGTGGGCTCCTAATATTCCTGTGAAAAAGAAGCCATTTTCAATTTCCCCAATGTTTTGTGGTCACGGGGAGTAGAAAAAGTTAAGGTTGTGCCAACGCTGGTCGTAGGTGCAGGAATGGGAGGAAAGGTATTCCTTCCCCATTCTCCTTCTTTGAGAAGGGGAGTTAAGGAGAATTTGGAGTTTGGAGGCTGACTGCTTCCCCTCCCATCTAAGAAATTCCTGAGCTGTTCAAAAGGACAAATGGCAGTTGCTGTAGCTTTGAGACCAACCAGGTAAAGGGCTAATTTTAGTTATAATTTCAACCTTTGGGGAACCTTGTTATAAACAAATGTGGCCCAGAATTATGTTTCCTTTTTTTTTCTTTTTTTTTTTTTTCTGGAGAAATGTCTATATTGGTGATACATACCTGATGAAGGAGGCTGGAGGCACTTCGAGATGTTAAAGCTGGGAGGGGTGGACGCAGAATAGCCTCAGAGTGCCTTTTTCGCAACATCAGATTCTCCTCTGATTGGACTGATATTCCTGAAGGCCCCACCCCAACCCATTTTACATCATCCTTATACTAGACCTTGTCTGACTCACTTAGACCTGCCCTCATATATGCCTTAGAGCTCACCTGCCCAACAGAAATGCAGAGAGGTCTACTGGGCGTTGCCTGCTGCTGCTCACTGCTGAGAGTTCCGTGGTGGGGGTGGCAGCTTTCCAGCCTCCCCCAAAAGAACCAAGTGCAGGAGAAAAGCCCAGGGAATAGATGATGCTGGCTGATCCTGAGCTTTTTCTGTTTGAGACAAAAGAGGAAATGATTCTAATCTTTTCTGGCCCGCTTTCATGCTTTAATTTGGTTTGCATTCCTCTTTTTTTTTAACTTTATATATATTTTTATTGAAGTATAGTCAGTTTACAGTGTTGTGTCAATTTCTGGTGTATAGCACAATACTTCAGTCATACATGAACATACATATATTCATTTTCATATTCTTTATCACCGTAAGTTACTTCAAGATATTGAATATAGTTCCCTGTGCTATCCAGTATGAACCTGTTGTTTATTTTATATATATTAGCGTCTGCAAATCTCAAACTCCCAATTTATCCCTTCCAGTCCCCTTCCCCGCCCCTAATAATCATGTATGTTTTCTATGTCAGAGTCTGTTTTGTACTTAAGTTCATTTGTCTTTATTTTATTTTATTTTATTTTATTTTATTTTATTTTATTTTATTTTATTTTATTTTATTTTTAGATTGCACATATAAGTGATATGATGTGGTATTTTTCTGGCTTGATAATTTTCTTTTGTATTAGCTTGGTTTCTTTTTGGTTTTTGTGACTCTAATATATACTTTTAATTTGTGGTTACCCTATTTTTCAAATATGTTAACCCCTTACTATATCTGTTTGCTTTAGACTGGTAGTCATGTAGGCTCAAACACATCCTAAAAAGAATGAAGAAAAAAAAGAGAGAAAATCCATGTTTTCTTTCTCCCCCCTCCCACCTTTTATGATTTTGATGTCCTTTTTTTTTTTTAACATCTTCATGTTTATTCTCTTGCAACTCATTGTAGTTATTGCATTTCCAATTATGGTTTTCTCGTTTCTATAGCTTCTTGCTTCTTTTCTATTTAGAGTAGATCTCTCAATATCTCATTTAGCATAGGTTTAGTATTGCTGAATTCTTTTAGTTTTTGCTTGTCTGTGAAATTCTTTGTCTCTCCTTTTACTCTAAAGGGTAGTCTTGCCTGATAGAGTATCCTAGGTTCCAGCTTTTCCTCATTCAGAACTTTGAATGTATCTTGTGATTTCCTTCTGGCCTGCAGTGTTTGTGTAGAGAAATGAGCTGAAAGCCTTATGGGGTTCCCTTGTAACTAACTCTTTTTCTCCTGCTGCCTTTAGAATCGTTTCTTTATCTTTAACTTTGTCTATCTCAATTATAATATGTCTTGGTGTGGGTCTGTTTGGGTTCTTGTTTGGGACCCTCTGTGCTTCCTGTACTCGGGTATTTGTTTCCTTCTTTAGGTTTGGAAAGTTTTCAGTCATGATTTCTTCATACACCTTTTCAATCCCCTTTTCTCTTTCTTCCCCTTCTGGGACCCCTATTATGTGTAGATTGGCACGCTTTATATTATCCCATAGGTCCCTTATATTGCTTTCATTGGTTTTTACTTGCTTTTCTGTCTGCTGTTCTGACTGGGTGATTTCTGTTATCCTGTCTTCTAAGTCACTTACTCGTTCCTCTGCATTATCTAGTCTGCTTTTTACTGCCTGTAGCTCAGCTCTTACCTCAGCAATTGAATTTTCTCTTTTCAATTGGCTCTTCTGTATAGTTTCAACTTCCTTTTTAAAGTATTCTGTCTCTATTGATGGTCTCTTTTAGCTCCTTCATTGCATTGATCATCCCCTTTTTGAAGTCATGATCTAATAGACTATCGAGGTCTATTTGATTGATCGTTCTTTCAGGGAATTCTCTTGTTCTTTTAGTTGGGAGTGGTTCCTCTGCTGATTCACTTTACTTACATTTCTCTGGCTGTATGGTCTTCTAGACCCATTTCTGAGCTGTGGTGTGTAGTAGGCAGGGTTGGAGCTCTCCAGTTGGGAAGAATAAGCTGAGATGTCCACTGGGAAGTGCCCTTTGTGGTGCTGACTGTCACTTGTTATAAGGCTTAGAAAGGACTCTTTGTTCATGCTGCCTTTGTCCCCCGCCTAAGCTGCGGGAATGTCGGCCACCCACTGTGGTGTTCCCCCTAGTTCTGGGCCCCAAGAACCACCAGTGCAGATCTGCCAATGTCAGGCGCTAGGGCCCGCCTAGCGAGCGTGCGGTCACACACCTGAACCCATGGAGTGCCACAAGGTCAGTGCAGACCCCAGCCCAGCCACCAGGCCAGCCTGCTGTAAATGCCCGTACTCGCCCCTGCTGTGTGCCAGAACTGCACTCACTCCCTGTCTGTCCCAGAGGGTCCAGAGAGAGGAAATCCACCCTCTCTGCCTGGGGCTGTAAACAAATCTCAGTCCCACTTGTGAAGTTGCAAGGCCACAGGGTATGGATTCAGCTTTCAGCCCCGCCTTCACACATCTCTCTTCAAGGATGGAGCCAAGCAGAGATGAGACGTGGGCTCTGGTGTGGCTGTGTTGGGCCCCCCGCCCCCCATGCACAACAGCAATGGTGCTTTTTTATGGGGGTTGCAGGCTGTTCTGTTTCACATACACCCCCAGCCAGAGCTCACACCGCCCTCCAGTCCCCTGTGGCTGCCTTGGTGCAGTGGGCCCCAGCCCTCTCCCTGGGCTCATCACTGATCTCCAGCAGGCAGTATCCGCTCGTCCCTGCTGGCTCGTGTCTAGGGCTGGGCATTGCAGGGGCCCTCTGTGCCAGTGTCTCCTAGTTCTGTCTGCCAAGCGGCTGCCACTTTCTCCTCGGAGCCTCGGAAGCTCCAATTCTGTCCGCGCTGACCTCCTGCCTGGAGAGTGGTGTCCCAGCGTGAGGGTGCCTTTCTTCCTTTGCTTCCCTGCAGGACTGGTCCCACACTGATTTTTTTCTTTTTTCTTTCTCTTTTTCTCTTACCGGATTTTGTGAGAATCCTGTATTTCAAAGCAAGAGACACTGTCAGAGTTCAGTAGGTGTTCTGTGCAGTTCACTGGGTTTGTAGATGCAATTCTCAGTGTATTAGTGGAAGAGGGCAAGCTGTGAGTCTCCGCTCTGCTGTCCTGGCACCTCCCCTGGTTTGCATTCTTGAGGGTTTGCTTCTCAAATTAGAATGATGAATTTTCTTCTTTAACATCATGCCTGCCTGTTGCTTCTGATGTGATGTTTTAATCTGTCATTTATTTTGATTTTGAAAAGAGTTAAAAAATCAAGCTAAAATTGTAGGATTTAAATGTAAGATCTCTGCCGCCTCCTTCCAGAAGGGATTTTCGTGATCAATTATAATGCGTTTTCAATGCACTTCAGTCCCAGAGAAATGATGAAATAAATAGTGGTTAATTTAGGATACAGGTCTAGAGAAGCCATGAAATCCATATTGTAGCTGAGCTGTAATTCTGACATTTCAAATCTCAGCACTGTGTTTTAGGTAGCATGAGCCCTCTATCATGGGAGACTGAGAAAATTTTTTCTTTTGAAAAGTTCAGGGATGGCCTCAGGCAAAACTTAAAATACGTGAAGTTTATCTTAATAATCCTTCCATGGCCTTTTTGGTATTTTTTGCTTTCCACTTCAGTGCCTTAGTCCCTCCCTGTGGCTCCTGCACAGAAACTTACCTTTCTCCTCCAAGTGCTATGTGTTCTGAAACCACTTTCCTCTTCCTGTGTCCTCCTCTTATTAGAAATTCCCATTCTCCCAGTGTCGGGGAGGGCAGCTAGGTATTAGGAGAAAGTAGCCTTTTAATTCTCCCAAAGCTCTCTTTTTAAAACTACTTTTCTTCTTCTTTTTTTTTAATGTCTTTTCTGTTCATTTTGAGAAACTTCTTCTGTGTGCTAGGTTTATATATAGCCCCATCACAAGTCCATGTCAAATGCTTATCTCTTAGTTTCTCTGACTCTTGGTAATCCAATGACTAGGAGGATGGTTTCAGATAGTGGTAAATGCTCAGAAGAAAGCAAGACAGCAACAGGACAGGGGCTGGATGGGTTTGGAGAGAGTGGCTGGGGAAGTCCTCCCCAAAGAGGTGACATTTAGGCTCAGCTCTGGGCCAGCCATGGAAGCATCTGGAAAGGAGCTATCGATGCAGATGCCCTGCAAATGCCCTGAGGCAGGAGGGCATGGCACAGCCGGTGGGGACGGGAGCAGAGTGGAGGTGGGGCTGGGTAGGAGGTGAGTCGGAAGAGCAGTCAGGGTCTGAGGACACACAGCTGGTTGGCCATGGCAGGAAATTGGGATTTTATTCCTCCGTGCACTGAGACTATTGAAGGGGTTTAGATGGGGGGAATCAGTTGTGAGAAATGGTTTGTTTGACCTGCAGTGCACACTAAATGGTGTAAATGGCTCATTGCCTGTGTCTCCAGTAGACTGTGAGCTGTGTGAGGGCAGGTGTTCTCTGAAGACCTAGCACAGGGTACTCCCAGTCCACGTTGAGGCATGTAATGAACGAACAATCTATGTTTTCTTTCGATAAGCCCTGTTTCAATGGCTGAGTCATTAACACCATGTAAATAGCATTTACTGTTTAATAAAGTCTGATCATTCGGGTGCTAGGACACTCCCTGTGAGTAAGGAAAGACGCTTTCAGGACTCGAGGGTATTACTGTATTCTGGCTGTTCTTTCAGCCTTTGAAGCAGTACCACAGGAATGTTAAGTAGACTCGATGACCAGAGAAGAATGAGAAGCCATGACATTTCAAAAATGAAAACCACAAGTAGTCCAGTAAAACCGCCTGATAAGGTGAACATGGATGTCACCTCACAATGGCCTTTGTTCTCAGAAGGAGGCAGGGCTGAGCTCTTACCTCCCGGCATGTGGGAGGTGGGGGCAGGCAGTGGCAGGAAGCAGCCATCTGGGAATTTGGGACTTTCTTAGTTCAAAGTGAAGGCCATTGAATATGGCTTAAATTTTATCATCTCTTATGCTCTTTGGAAAATAGAGACCACCTGAGACATACTGTTTTTCATTAACTGCATAATAATGTCACCTTGCATTTTGTGTGATTGACATTTTTGGACTCAACTCTCACTCTAATGGTGGGCTTTTTACTATAGTTAGTATTTGTCTGTTGTAATTTTATCTCCATTTGCAAGTAGGTATTCTCTGTTAAACCCTGAGGTTTTCTCTGAATCAGTTGGAAACCCTAATTTAGATCTCTCTGTTCCATTAAATAAAGCTGTCCTTGAAAATCTCTCATGGTGGAGTCAGCCCAGCCCGGTGCACGTGCTCTGCTGACATCACAGCACCTGCTCCCGAGAAGGCTCTTTTCTCCTCACCTCTTTCCCCACATTCCCTTAAACATCACCCTGCAGGTAATAGAGAGTTTCAAACATGGTAAACGGAGTACACATTGGACCTCTTTTAAGTTGAAAATATTTTTCTTTGCAGAGACTTCAGCAACACAGAAACACTGTGCAGTGAACAGAAATATTATTGTGAAACATGCTGCAGCAAACAGGAGGCCCAGAAAAGGTGAGTGAAGGGTTTAGCTTTGGAGGGTGGCTTTGTGTAGTCAGAAGGAACCAGACTGGGGCTGCACAGATCTGGTTGTGAGTCCCAGTCCCACGGGCTGGTTGCCAAGTAGCTTTGGAGAAGTCAGTTACCCTCCTCACTGGAAAACTAGGGTAAGAATGCCAACCTGGGGGAGTGCACCCATTCATCCTATTGTTCGTCCATCATTCTGTTCATTCGTTTGTTCAGTGTGCCAGGTACTCCTGCTGGGTGAACAAATGGTGAGCAGGTATGATCACTCTCCTCTTAGGATTAAAGCGGAATTATAAAAAGGACTTAGCCTAATGCATAACACATAGTGACCACCTGATAGTGTTGTTAGTATTGCCTCAACATTGGAACTTCTTATTTAAAAGACGTAAGAGGTTAAAAAAAAATCAAATGTTTAATAAGGAATCACGAAGAAATCAGTAACGTCGGTTCTCTGGGTAGGTGATGAGAAAGTTGCCCCATTCCAAGTTGCTGCAGAACCTGAGGTTGCGCATCTGTTCACCAGCACTAGCCAGTCACAGCTCTTAGACAGTCTGAGATAACCAGCCATTGCCTGTGTCCTGCCCCCAGAAGCCAAAAAAACTTGACATTTTAATTATCCTGGGAAGCCCTATTGTGAGTTAAATTTACCCTGCCCGTGGCTGTGGCACACTCAAGGTAACTCACAGAGGCTCATTCCTGCCGTCTGAAGCCTTCAGGGGTGAGCATTGTCCAGACTTGGCCCCAGAAACCTCACATCCGTTAACATCTCCAGTGCTCTCATGAGCCCATTTTGGGGAATGTAGCCCTAAGCCAACCCCTGTGTTTACAGGTGAGGGAACCGAGAGCCCGAGAAGGGAAGGAACTTGCCCAGGGGCACAGGAGGGGAGGGAGTGTGGGCCCAGCATGCTGTCTTATCTGCTGGCCTGCAGCGGGCTGTGTCTCAGGTTTCCCTGCCGGTCCGTCCTCAGAACCTGTGCAGTCAGACCGCACCCTTCTGCTTGTCCTCTACCTCCTTTTTCTTTGGGGGGATCCACCAAATCCTGTTCCTCCCTGGGAGGCAGAGGGCAGTGATGTGGAGTTGCACAGCATAGTTTTATTGGTACAAAAGTTCTGCAACGTCTCCTTTGAGCAGAGTTTCCCCTGTTGCCCTTTTCTGTGCTGGCTGGGCTCCAGTTAGCCAAGTCTGCAGGAGAAGTCAGCTCTGCATAAGCGAACATACTTCTGTTCCTTGAGCAGTTTGGCTGTTTGCTGGTTTGAAATCTGCTGGACCCGCTCCTGCTCTCCATTTGTGCAGGCAGCGGTGTATCCTGTTCCCCTCACAGGGTTAGGTACCATTGATTCTCTACTTCATGGTTTCTTAGGATGAGAGTAAAAAAGCTGCCCATGATCTTGGCCCTGCACCTCAAGCGATTCAAGTACATGGAGCAGCTGCACAGGTACACGAAGCTGTCTTACCGCGTGGTCTTCCCGCTGGAGCTCCGGCTCTTCAACACCTCCAGTGATGCGGTGAACCTGGACCGCATGTACGACCTGGTCGCGGTGGTGGTTCACTGTGGCAGGTGAGCGCGGCGGGAGCGGGGTGCGCGGGGGAAGTGCCATCCCCGGGCCAGAGCAGACCCCGCCACGCCCTTCCTGGGGGGTGAGGCTCAGCAGTAGGTAACGGTGCTTTAGGGGGATCGCCTCCAAGCTCCAGTCTGTTTATCAACTCTAAACAAATCTAAACATACATCATAAAATAAAATAATAAAGTAAAAATAAAAAACAAATGCATCATCATAATAATGTTCTATCACAAGGGAAATAATTTAATCTCCATTGGATACAAATGATACTTAGGAGGAGTTTGAAATAACATGGAGAAATAAATGTTTATGCTATGATTTTAATTTGTTAAAAACCAGGTTACGTATATAGTAGGATCTCAAAAGTATTTTAAGATGTATGAATAAAGACTGGAAGCTTCTCTTAAAATTTGGAGAAACAAAATATTTTGCTGAAAGTCTTTGAAGAAATATTTTTTATTTCATAATTTGGTGTAAGCATGCAAAAGTCTGTTGAACATTCACCTGTTCACTATCCTTCGCTCAGCTGAGAGGCGTCTGTGTCCCCTCCCTGGGATCAGCAGGCTCTCTCCGGCTTGTAGGCTTTAGATTGGGGCCTGTCACCAAGCAGGCGTCCTCTCCTCTCCATCCACCTGGATCCCATCTTGGTGAACAGACCGTTACCAAGAGGATATGTGGTTCCACATGGAAGAATGGATGGATTGATTTTTTTGCCATACTGGGTGGGTGGTATCAGAATCTGTAACTTCACATCTGAAGCACCTCATTTTTGTTCTGTGCAGAGTAGCTTTAAGTCACAGGTTGTTCTCTTACATTCTCAGAGAGCTGTATTTATTGGTCAGTTTTAAGCTACCTTTGTATTTCCCCTGAAGAATGTGTCTAACAGTCTTTTTTGGGGGGAGGGTAATTAGGTTTATTTATTTATTTATTATTAGTCAGCTGTGTTTGTTTGTTTGTTTTTATGGAGGTACTGGTGATTGAAGCCAGGACCTCATGCACGCTAAGCAGGCACTCTACCGCTGGGCTACACCCTCCCCCAACAGTCTTTTAAAGAATATGGGGTCCAGTGATCTGGAAACTAGCCGTGAACACTGGGCTGGGAGGAGGTCTTGGGGCAGGCAGAGCCTGGTACCTGGAGGGTCCCTGGTGGCCGAGGTGGGCGGCGTGGACAGGTGACAGGAAGCAGACCACCCTGGGATGTGGGGACCACAGGGGGTTTCAGAATGGATCTCTCTGGTGCCAACTCTAATCCGTGGGGGCACTGGTGAGGATGAGGCAGAGACCCATGAGAACTGGGGGACGAGTGGGAGGTGGGGTTCAAGAATGCTCAGCTTCTTTAACGGGGGCCCAAGGCTCAGAGCAGCCCTGGGAGCAAGGGAGAGCTGGTGCCGAGTCATGCATGCTACTCACGAGGATGCTTTAAATTCCTCCCCGCTAGAGTGCTCGCTTTGGCAGCACATATACTAAATTCCACCCCGCTAGAGGTGGGGCTGTTCTCATACACAGAGCGGGGCTGCCCGTGCACAGGGATCAGGTGGCTTCCGGCCGTGGGCACTGGGAAGCTCCAAGGTTGGGGAGCTGAGCGCTCCCTTCTCATGCCGGGACCTCCTGGCCCACTGTTGCCTTGGGTGCACAGCCTCATTCATTGATCTCTCCTACAAATATTTTTCAACCCGTATTTCCTGGGTTCTGTGGCAGGATCTGAAGGTATTGCAGTGAGCAAGACTCACAGGGACCCTGCCCTCATGAAGCTGAGGATCTAGCGGGAAAGACAGATAATTAACAAGTAAATGCACCAGCCTGCCGCCGCCGAAAACCACTGCCAAATAACTGATTATCTTGTTTAGCGCTCTGAGGAACGAACAGGGCGATGACAGAGAGCAGCAGGAGGCACCTCTCCAGGGAAGGTGGTCGGCAGAGATTTCTTTACCGAGGTGACATTTGAGCGGAGGCCTAAGGAATAAAAAGGGCCAAGAGTACAAACGTGGCGGGGGGCGGGGGGACCATTTCAGGCATTTCTGGCAAGTGCAAAGCCCAAGGCAGGAGCGGATGATGTGTGTGAACAGAGGAGGCCAAGTGGGCTGGAGGGGAGGGGTGGCCGGGTGAGGTTGAAGAAAGGCAGGAACAGAGCCTATGGGTCATCTTGTATTTAAAGAAAGGCAAATACAGCTTCACTTTGATGGTGCATTGGAAAAAACAACCCAAAACTCAAGATTTACAGTTAAATTCCTCTCAGTTGTGCAAATCTGATGACAGTAACTGCTATGTAGTTGTTCCTCCTGCTTTTTTTTAATAGTGTGTAATAATGTAACTCTTTGTTTTCCTACTTGTTATCATTATGGTTTAACATCCTCTAAAACTTCAATCACATTATGTCACTCCTCAAAATTCCCAAGCGTCTTCCTGGCTCACTCTCAGAGAAGTCCGGAATCTTAACCACGGTACCCCCTTCGCCTCCCCTCCTCCATGTCCCGGGCCCGCTGGGCTCTGGCTTCCTGGTGTTTGGTGAACACGCCGAGAGCTCTTCCCGCCCCTTCCCCCCCTCACACTTGCTCTTACCCCTTCCTGAAACGTCTCTCATATGGTCACATGACTTGTTTAACACACACATACTCTCACCTCTTTCCTTCAGGGAAATTTTCTTCTGCTAAAATCTCATGTTATTGGAGAGGCTTTCTGTCATCACTTTGTATCAAGTAGTGCCTTCTCTCTGTCACTCACCACCCCGTGACTCTGCTTTATTCCTCCCAGCACTTAGCACCACCTGAAATCTATTGATATTATAGTCTGCTTATTACCTCTCCAACCCTCACCTCAAGAGAGTGGGGGCTTTGTCTTGTTCACTGCTTTTTTTGGCCTCACAGCCAGAATGAGTCTGGCACATCATAGGTGTACAGTAACTGTATGTTTCTATTTGTTGCATTTGAATGTCTGTTTTCCCCCATGGGTTGTGAGTGCTTAAGAGACAAACGTTTTACTCACCTTTCCCTTGTGCCCAGCACAGCATCGGCATCTGGATGTTACTCCATGAGTTGTGGCCAAACGAATGTGGATGTAGACACGACCTATACTGTCCTGGTGATAGAGTTTTGGTTTTTTTTCTAGTGAATCACTGTATCTAAAGAGCTACATAGCGTTTTATAAAGCAGTAAATGTTAACCTGGTAACTTGCTTTGGTTTGTTCTTTTCCAGTGGTCCTAATCGTGGGCATTATATTACTATTGTGAAAAGTCATGGTTTCTGGCTTTTGTTTGATGACGACATTGTAGAGGTTGGTATGCAGATTGGTATCATCGGGGTGGGGCGTAGACATTTTGGGATGTGTATGTAAAGTAGGTTTTTCTAAAGTAGGTCTGTTTTCCCATAATCTGAGTTGAAAACAACCTTCATTTCTCTCCAAGCTCAATTCTGCTGCTCCCCATCCTCTCTGGAAGGGGCGAAGGGGTGTGACCGTGGGCTTGTGAGTACTGTGTTCTTGTTCAGTTAACTGATCAGCCATAGACATGGGACCTCTTTGCTGTCATATTTACATGTAAATCCTGTTTACTACTGTGACTAAAGCCCTGTCTGGTACAGACCAAATAAACTTTGAAGTTCTATTAAAATTACTTTGTTACACCAAATTTTTCTTATATTGATTATTTTTTAAAAATTCTTTCAGTCTGTTAAACCTGGAAATCTTTATGTTACACTTAAGTATTCTGTATGTTGATTTTTATTTTTTGTATTTTGATTTTGTTCGAAAGGAATATCAGCTGGAGAGAATTCCACACTCAAAGACATGATCTATTTTAGCCCACTTAGGGTAGCACTAAAGGGAGTAAACTCTGCTGACCTGGAAGAATTAACGTTATTCCCAAGAGCTCCCCCAGTTTATCATTTGATAGCAGAAGTCCTGGCTTCTTCAAAGAGTGCCCACCTATGGCTGACAGACTGAAGGGTGACTTTCTTCCCTCACAGTTCACAATGCATGTAATCATGTCTCCCTGTCAAGTCTGTGGAATTCTGTTTGCTATTGAAAGTCCCCAGCTGTGAATTTATGACAGTTTCTTACATTTTCTCGTGCATTCCATTACCTTTTTCTTTCCTTCTCCCAGAAATCATGTTAAACCATTGTATTGTTTTATTTCTCTCTTTCTTGCAGAAAATAGATGCCCAAGCTATTGAAGAATTCTATGGCCTGACATCAGATATATCAAAAAATTCCGAATCTGGATATATTTTATTCTATCAGTCAAGAGAATAACTCGCAGAGCTGTGGGACTGATTCAAGTGGGGGAAATGTTCAAAGCTCTCTCACCTGGTTTCCCAGACGTTCCTCTTCCCCAGCGGCCACCAGGTATTACCCCAAGTCTGGGTGGTCTGGCCGTGTTACACTCTCTCTCCCTCGTTTTTCTACATGCAGCACTCGTGGTTTTGTTTTAGTCTGAGGTGGAGTTAACTACAATCAGACTGTAGTAAGGGTTAGGGGAATAACTTTTGTTAATTTTAGGGTTGGGTACATGCTGTGCCACCTGCTATGTGTCTGGCTGAATTAGAATGACAGTTCCTACGAACGTCGAGTCTATTGGGGTCTTAGCTAAACTTCCTAAATGGCTTCCGGGGTCTCCTTCAATGCATTCCTTTAACTTGTCCCTGGAAACACTGCTACCCATCTTTAGCTTCTCTGCCTCTTTTCTGACAGAAGGACAGAAGAATTGGGTAGACGTTCACCTCTTAGAGCTGGAACTATAGCTTTAAGTTTGTGCGAGTGAAGATGTTTAAAAGTGAGTAACCTCAAAAGTGAGACCGCCCCCCAGGTGGAGCAGGGCGAAGAGAAGCCGTGCCGGTGGCCCGCGTCTGCCCGGGCTGTGCTCACCTCGCCGGCACGATTCCCAGGCCCGGGAGGTGCGGAGCTCAGGGCAGGCGAAGCCAAGACGAGGGAGCTTTGGTGCACAGTGGAGACTTTCTTTTCTTATCTTTCTACCAAAATCGAGTTTCAGGAAAATAACTCTGCTCTTTGTTTTTAGTGACACTTTTCTTCTGTCCCGTGAGTTGTATCTATCTTTTATCCAGCACTGCTAAGTTTTCCAAGGTATCTTTCCGATCCCGCTGGTGTTTCACGGCCAGTAGTGGCAGGGCTGAGACCACGGTGACTGCCTCAGGTGCAGCTCTCTTTGGCCAGTCGGCACCGACACCATCCTTTATGAGAAGAACCAAATTACTCACCTTGCCCACCATCAGCCGCGTTGGACAGCTGTTGACATTTGAACATTTCAGTCTGTTTACTGAGGCGCTGGCGAGCCCCAGGGCTAATGTGGAAACTTCTCTCCAGGAGACACTGGAGTTAGCTGGGTTTGAAGGTGGGGAAAAGGAAGTGTCAGTCGGCGAGTGGAGGGATGGACAAAGTGGTAGCGTGTCTTTGGCTCAGACTCCTAGAAGGCTCGACACGACAGAGCATTTTGGAAGAACCTCATCTCACCATAGTTACTTTTACCTTTTTCACTTTTGTTATATGTGTATTTATTAGATCATTTGCATATTGGTACCTTTTATTAAAAAGGGTCGATATGGTGTTTTGCTGTTGAGCTGGTTTTTGGTTTCTTACAAATATTATGAGTTGCAGATCTTGGCTTCCTTTGGGAAGTCCATTGGCTTCCATACACTATAATATACTGTGAACCTGTTACTTTGTTACCTAATAAATCAGCGAACGAACATGCAAACTTTTGGCATAATGTGAACTAAAATTGCAATTGAAAATATTACTGGCCATTTTGCAACAAGTAAGAGCATAGCACTTTATCTGTATGAAAACTGGATTTCTTATCTTGGAAATATCTTGAACTGTTTATCGCTCAGAACTTCGATAAGCATGCCAACACTTCATCTGATCATGCTTGAAGTGAACATCTTTTACTTTTCACTGGAGAAGACAAAAACAGGGTGATCTTCACATTATTGTTTTCTACAAGTGATGAAAATATACCTTGCCTTGTATAGAGGCGAATTCATATTTATAAACATTTTGTCTTTTTTTTTCCTCCATGAAACATGCAGTAATCACTTACCTGGAAGGTGAGTTTTTATTCTGTTTTTAAGGAGAGACACTTTCCAACTGAAGGTGAATGATACAGGGAGCTATTTGTACTACACATAATCCCTATGTCTGACTGCAGGTTGAAACTTTAAGAAAATGATGATTGATCTCTAATATATTTGAAACTGATACATAAGAAGAACTATTAAAATTATCTTTGAAATGATTCTTGAAGTTAACGTATTAGAAAGTTTCAGTTGGAAGCCTACAGAAGTCATATTTACATGCTAAGTCATAGTTTCAGTGATTTTTTTTTCTGCAATGTGTAAAAGGTTTTTCCCAGTGACTTAACTGAAGTAATTCATTTCAATATTAAGAAAGGATCAGGAAAAAGAAGTCAATTAAAATTCAGTATTCATGGATAAATTTTTGGAATTAAAAAATACGTATCGAAGATAATACAAAGACATTAAAATGGTCATGTGATGAAGGAAAAGAAAACTGAAAAAAGACCAAAACACACTTATCCGCCAACACTCCATCAGTTTTTTAAACTTTAGAGCTATCCAGGAATTTCTTCCCTCTTCCTCTTTAATAAATGACAGAAACACAAGGCAGCTACATTCCCCACCCCCACCCCCAGTCATTTCACTTTATGTGAAGACGATAGCACATAAACACTTCTTTCTTTTCCATCCCTCATTCGCTGCGTGAAGCAGAGAGTGGAGTGGGATACGTGAGACCATCCTGAGATCAGACAGCACAAAGGCTCAGTGGTGTTCCCACAGTGGCCAGCTTTTTGTGTCACTTTCTGGCAGGAGTGAAGCCTGCTGTATTTCTTTTAACTACTGGGTGTTTTAAAATAAGTTACAGTGTTTGACACTTAAAAAAGAGAAGGACTGTTTGCTTTATTGGTTACTTCCTTGTTTAACGTCTAGACTATGGTACAGTGTGCTAAAACGTCGTTTGTTTAACAGCCCACGTTGGTAGAAGGCTGATATTTTTTGTCTTGTTATTCCGATGCATTTTCCATTCCGAGGCCACGTGAAGTGGGCTGGTTTGAAGGGAGCCAAGGAACCACACAAGAGGGTGGTAGGTTTGACTAGGAAACTAGTCTTGTTGGTTTTATAGCCTGATATATTTTGGATTTCAGATGAAATGGGGAAAAAATGACAGAAATGGTCCTATGCGTTTATTTTCATGGATACCCTGAATTTTCATGGGCATGCCTAACAATGAACTAGGTTCTAACTAGAGCTTAGGGCTTATTTTAGATATTGGAGTGTAGCTTTATTACAGATGGATTTTATCTTTAAACACTGCATTTTGATCAACTTTGTATATTCATGTGTATTAAAATATTGTGTACTAAATGTTTTGCCCTCGTTTGCTATTATATGGTCAAGGCATTTATCAGCACTAGTGTGATTAACTCATGTAAATGGCATGGGTCAGGGAAAATGATTTCCTATGTTTCTGCCTAATTAAGTTTCTGTTTTCCAGTATTACATTAATTTATTTTTGGCTTCCACTTATGTATAACCAAAATAGTTACTGTATTTGTGTGGCATTCATTTATTTGACTTTGTTGCTAAAAAAAATTTTTTTTTAGTTTTTATTTAAAATAATCTGTACCTTATTTTTTTTATGTAACCAATTCAAGCACTTTAAGCAATAATGTCAATCTTGTGAAACTTCAATCAGTTTAACACCCTGCCTCTAAAATTGTTTGCAAAAAATAAATAAATAAAATAGGAATTCTCTTCCTAGAGAATTATATCTGGATAGTGTTACACACATGGACTTTAAACCCTTTTTTATAAAATGTGAGTTATTGGCAAGTCTCAGGTAACCATTCCAAAGTTAATTTTGAAGCATTGAAAAGAATACTCTGGTCATTGCAACAGGTAAAGCTCCTGCTGCTGTCCAGGTTTGTAAAGTTAGTTTTCTGAAGGTAACTCACCACTTTTTTTGAGTGAGAAAGATCAACAGAATGAATCCAGAAACCTATGTCAGGGGAATAGTCTCAATTTGCTACCAGTGAGAAAAAGAATTAGGGGCAGGTATGTTAGGCATCCGGCGAATTGCTTAGCTGAGATTTTGCATAGAAAATGCCCTTTGCCAGTTATGAAATAAAAGATCCATACCCCAAATAAGGAAGTGGCTTCCAGCTCTTTGATCCCATGGGCATCTGGTTCTAGGAAAGAGTAGGAGTGTGGTCCTGGCCGCAGGTACGACAGCCAGCCCCAGGCTTCCGGGCGATGCCTGAGCTGTGGAGACCGCAGCCAGGTGCATGCCGCTCCCTGCACTGGCCTGCCCATGTCCTGTGGTCTCAGAGTGTGCCCCCCCCCCCGCCCACTAGGGCCGAGACTCAAGCTTGCTGTTAAAATGCTTAAGGCTTCTCTTCCCCCACCCCCAAACAGTCACTTCAGGGGTCTGTGTGTGGGCAGACTGTCATCTGAATACTCTTGCCTGGGCCCAGTGATGGGAATAAAACCCCACAGACCACGAGCAGAGCGATGTGCCTTTAGGTCTCCCAGTTCATCCATCTTCTCTTGGGGCGGTTCAGGGGGACCTGACTGAACATAACAGGGGCTCGGTGGGGGACCACCTGCACCAACCTTGAAGGCTGTGGGGATAGAAGACCTCAGGAAAGTGTGTTCTTCTTTCCGGCCTCCTTTTGTCCGTCTGTCAAATGGGGTTTATAGGATAGACTTGTCCCCAGCAGCATGACACTTTCTGGCGAATGAGAAGAGTTGCCCATTTCTCCAAATTTCCCTCCCTCTGTTCATTGACACCTTGAACAGAGAATGAAGCCTTCTATTTCCATGCTTTATATTTACATGAAGATAAAAATGCTTGCTGAGTCATTTTCCCCCCCCGAGGGAAGATTTCGATCTTGGGGATAGTACTTGAGACAAACTTCTTAGACTTGTCCTAGAGATGTCCCAGGAGGAGAGTTTTTTTTTTTTATTCTTATTTTTCATTGAAGTGTAGTCAATCTACAATGGAGAGATTTTTAATTAAGCGATTGTTTAGCACTTGTTGTGTGCTAGGCATCGTGATAGGAGTTCGGGGATTAAAAAGGTGGAGCAGATAGGATCACCTTCAGTCTCTTGCCTCTGAAAAAAGGTGTGTGGAAAAGACATTTACAGTGTGGAGATGACACGTGGGGGAACGGAATTCATCACAACTTACCAAGCTCGGGTATTCGGCCCGGGTCTCCCCGAGCAGACAGGGCTGCTTCAGTTGGTGCTGTTAGATAAAGCAGGCCGGTCTCTTCTTCCCTTGGATCCCCTGGGAGTCCCACTTTCTTGCCTGTTCTGCCTCTTATTTAGCTCCTAATAGGGACGACACAACTTTAAAAACAATGTGTAAATCCATTATGTTACAGCAATGGACCTGAGCATTTTGCCTCTTCATTTTCATGTTCAAAGAGCCAGAATATTGAAGGTTTTAACAGTGAATTTTATGCATAAATTATCTAAACAATCTCTTTCCATTATTACCGAATAATTAGAGCCTGTCCAGAACTTACCAGCATCAATGAGAGTATGAGTTTTTAAGCTGTGTGACTCATGATTTTATTGGCTTATCCACCTATGTTCTCTTTTGGGGCTCCCTTATGTTTTAATAGTTTAATTAGGAGCTTACGAACAGATGAAAACCAGCTTCATTTTGGTTCTGAGACACCAGAGTTAGAAGTGGCGTTAGATTTTTGTAAAAAGGATTCCTAATTTTGTGCTCATTTCTCCCGTGATGATTTCTTCATAATAAAGTATTTATTAACGACCTGGAGGGTACCGTATTCATGTTGTGAGTTACACGGATGTGTCCTTCACTTTTTTCTTTGCCCCAAGGGAGCGTGCATGCTGTAGCAAGGCAGTGTGGAATTCCACCGAAACTCTGCCTAGAAACGTTGGGCATTTGTGCTGTGGGTGGAAATCCTGGTTTGTTCTTACTTCCTCATGGTAGTTTGGGAGGTTGGAGAAGAAAACTGAGACGTAGATTTGACTTGGCAGGAAGCAAAATAATTTAACAGTTGAAACCACCATTTCTATATATTTAACCAAATCCTCCTCTTATCATCCAGCTCAGCCGTATTTGTATTGCAGGATGTCTTTTAATTGACCTTGCCTGCGAGAACATTCTGTGCTGAGGTAACAGAAAATAAACAGAAGAAAAATTTGAGAGCAAGCCTTCCTGTCTTCAGCAGCAAGCTGTCCCTTCACTATAGCACCTGTCTCGGGTTGAGAAGTGCCTGTTGCCTGTTCCAACTTGGACTTCTGAGGCTTCAGTGGCGGTAGGGGTGAAGGCTGTGGGAGAGAGGAAACCTCCTCCTGGATGTTCATTGATGACCTGACCCTCAGCCCAGGTCACTGGACAAGTCTGGGAAGGTTACGAAGCACAAACTCACTCAGAATCTGTCCTCAGATGGGAATTTGTACAGAATATAGAAGAATAAGGAGGTGGGGGCAGGGTAGGAGGAGGGAATAGGCAAAGACCCTTCTAACGTTACTGGGTCACCGCTAGCCTCAGGTCTCACTGCAGCATCTGTGCCTTCGCCCTGCAGGGTTACATGGTCCCAGGGTGCCCCGCCAGTGCCCTTAACTGATAGGCAGCCCACAGACTCAGCACCCTTTCTGTTGTTGCCTGGACCTTGATCTCTCATAGGAGAACTGCAGGCTCGATAGCAGTGTGAGAAAGCCCTACTGGGCTTGGAACGGCAAGTCCAGGTTCCAGGTGGGCTGTGCCTAGCTGGTCCTGTCATCATAGCACATGGGGCAGCAAAGGAACAGGAAGCAGAAGATCTGAATTCAAGTCCTGACTCTGCCTTCCTGGTTGGATGATATTAGAGGTTTGTCCCCTAAGTCAGATGTTGGACATGACCTTGGGGTTAGGATGCTAAACAGTGGTATTTGGCAAAGGAGGACCCTTCTCCGCAGGCCTTCAGGGGAGGCAGAGATGCAACTGCCAAAACCATGGACAGCATATGATAGCTAGTTACTCAAATAATTAGGAAGTTGTGGGGTACTGTGCTATACTGTTTCATTTAATCTAATCCCCATGACATCTTCTAGGCATAAAAGATAAGACTAAAGACAGGTTGAGGGGGGTGGGCGGGAAGCAGCTTCTGACATCCAGAAAATAGCCAACAGCAGCTGTGCTTAGGATGTTGTCCAGAACTGACCCGGCACTCCAGCTGGGCCATCGTGTTTTCTGGTAGGACAGAAACAGTCGCTCAGAACACCAACCTCAGACAGGGTCATGTTGTGACCACAATGAAGTGAGACGATAAACATGACCACTGCATAATTTCACCGAAGCATGGACAAAAAACAAGGTCACTGCAAATCGCAAAATACCAAACATCCCTCTCCTGCCAGATCCAAGTCACTGCTGCTGCTTTACCAATATTGGCGTTAGCACTGCTCCCATCTGTCCTAGGTGAGATTTATTAAGATATGTGATCAAAGGATTAGCCCCACTTCCTGACAGCACCCAGTCCAGCACCCAGAGTTTCTTGGACTCTCCCCAAAATCACTAAACCAAAGCCCCAATCCTGTAAGTTCTAACACCCTCTTACTAAGATGCTCCACGCTTCCCCACAGTGTGTGGCCTCTTGCTGCTCTGAGATTACACATGATTTTGTTAACCGCAGTTGTGCTCCTGGAGGTCTGTCTGGAGAGCATGGATAGAGGACTGTGCTAGACTGAGAGAGAAGGCAGCTTCCTGGGTCTGCGGGTCTCATGGCTGGAAGGAGAGGCAGCCACACACATTCCAGGTCATCATTGGGGTTCTGATGCCTAATGGATCTGCAGTGACTCCTGCCTAGAGGGGATGGTGGAGGTGGTGGGCTGCGTGCCAAAGAGGCTTCTTACAAGTAACTTTGGATAAATCTGGACCTCAGTTTTTCCTGACCTGTAATATATAGTTAGAGAGAGCAGGGTTGTGATGTGTAGAAACTCCTGGAAAGCATGAGAGGTAGCTAATGTGATTATGGGCAGGATACGGTAAGACCGACGAGCTTTGTTCTTTGTTTATGGATTCCTGGCACCTCCACACCTACCTTTAGAATCCCTCAGGTGCGGCTGTGTTGGCCTCCAGAGCCTTTGAGTCTACTGCAGTGCCAGAACTCCTCTTTGAGGCAGAGTCTGGAACAAATAAGATAGGGCCTGAGCTCCATCTGTAGGAAGGGTATAAAATCTATTTCAGGAATTCCAATTTTCCACAGCAGACAAGGTCGTAGTTCCATCCAGATCTTGTGGTGCATGCGGAAGAGCTTTTTAGAATCGGAGGGTTGGGGTGGGGGTCAGGGCAGAGAGGGGTGAAGGCAGGTGGCAGAAGAGGTGACTGAGGACATGTGCAGGGTCTAGTGCCCTCTAGTGGGAATGGCCTAAAATGCTCCCTGATTTTTCTCAAAAGAACGGCAGGACACGTCTTGCTTTCATTTTGTATACGTTGTTTGTCCGTGGGTTTCTGTTAGAAACAAACTCCAAACCTGACAACAGTTATCTTGACTCCAAACCAAGACTTAAGTTACAAAGGCCACCATCTTTCAGCAAGAAAGGACCATGGAACACAGGATCCCAGGGTCAAAGAGAGGAGAAAGTGACCTCCTTGAAGACAGAGTCACCTCTGAAGCTTCCTGGCTGGAGAAGGTCATTGAGTGAAAACACGTGCATGATATCAGGCAGCGCTGGAGTGGAAGAACCAGGACAGGAGAGTAGAGGATAATTGATTCTTGGTCCTACGTAGCTTGTTAATTTTACAAAGCAGGAAGGGAAGAAAGAATAAGGAAAGAAAGAAACATAGCATCTTTGAAAAATTGATATAAGCATTTAAGTCAAAGATCTAAGAGCTACTGTCTTATTTTGCGAAGTGTCAGGAGAGCTCCCCACAGCAAGCCAGGTGATGAGGCATAATTTTACTCCTCACCATCTGACCAACAGTGAATACACCATTTTATTTTGCTATTCACATTTTGGCTAAAATCCTCTACAAGCTACTGATTTTTATGATAAACACCGAGACTTCCCTACAAATGGACTCAATGGTTTTGGAATTTCTAGAAAATTGTTTTGCATTTTGGTGTGGCCTTACATCATTTTTATAGAGACTTTTATTTGTAATTCTATCTGCTGACCCCGACTTAGAACATCTAATGGAACTTTCATTTTATCAGGCTCAGTATTTCTCTCTTCTCCGCTTGGATATATGGGGAAATGAGATAGAAAGTCTGTAGTGACATCTGGGAACAGGAGTGTGAATCAGTGGATGATGGAAATGTGAGAAGAACATTCAATAAGGAAAAAATTGCAAAAATTGGATCCAAAAGGAACAGGGAGAAAGAAAGTGCTAGTCTTCGTAGGCGAGGCTGGTTAGTGTGTGACTTCTGTCACGTGAAAAGTTAGATGAAGTTGGCTGATGGAATCTACTTTAAAATAGATCTCAAGGTAGGCAGATACATTTTATTTTTAAAAACTATTAGGAGAGATTTTAAACATGCACAAAAGTAAGATAAAAAATAAAATAGATTCCTGAATCTCCATGAACCTACGACTCAGCTTTACCAGTTAACTGTAGCCATTCCTGTTTCAGACTGGTGGAATTCTCCAATAGTGCTGGAAAGTTACCAAACTAACAAGCCTTCCACTCTCCAGGATCTCTGAACAAGAATAATGTTATAAATCAACTACAGTTGTCCTCTGAAAGGACACCTATGTGAAGTTAGTACAATTCAGATTAACAACCGTCTCTCAGGGATTATACACTTATTTTGTCATTTCTCTAGCTTGAAATAATGTGTCATTCCTCTAACTTGAAATGTTTTCACATAAATGCAGGAAGTTTTTTTTTTTCAGTACAGAGATTTTCTAGTTGAAATTGGCTTACTTTGTATAGTGGAAGTGACACTGCAGTTTGAGGGTGACCATGTTGATGCAGAAAATTAAAGTGAAAAGAATGGCACCTTATAACCACTGTAGAATATAGAAGATGGTCTTAGGTATCTTTATGCAAAAGTGAAAACAGCTCACAGTGCTCACATGCTTGCTCTTCTAGGTTTTCACCTTTCCATCTACTTCCTTCTGGAGTTTCCCAAAGAGATGGGACCAGACTCAATATTCCTATTTGTCTCTGCCTTCTCCTGTTGGTATTTTTCCTCATGGCCTGTCATTAGCTGCTTTCGCTGATCAGTGGACTAAACGGAAGAGTGCCAGAGAGGGAAGGCGGTTCCTGGATAACAGTGCAAACTTTCCATAGTCCTGAGATCTCAGCAAGACTTCTTGCATTGTTTCCTAAGTCAGTATTACCTAGAATAAGGAAGGAGGGGCTGGGGGAAGTCGCCCGGCGTTGAAGCAGGGTCACTACTGTGTGTGGTGGACCCACGCAGCAGAGGAGAGATTCCGGCTCCATTTCAGCTCTCTGAATCCCCCTCTTTCCGCACCTGCAGAGCTGCAGGGGTCTGGGCAGGAAAGAAAGAGGTGGTCTTAGCAGCCGGGTGAGGGGGTGGGAACCAGAGAGTCACTCTCCCTTGCCCATTGTCCAAATGATCAAGGGCTGAGGTTTTCAAGCTTTTCATTCGGTACCACAATCTTTTTTGGAAAATAAAATATTATACAGAACCTAAACTATGTATGTATGTATTATTTTGTATGGTATTTTATTAGTGTACATTTCTTTTCAACGTTAATTTTATGAAGTTAATAAGATCAAAGAGGCTCCTTGAAGAACATGAAATTTTAAAACTGGCCATCTGTTATTGGTCTCGGCACCCTGTTTGTATCTGAA